AACCCAGCCAGCCAGGTCAAAAGTATCTCTCTAAAACCGACAGTCTTAAAGCCAACGCACGGCATGGACCGTCACGCGTTCTTCACAGCCAGCAGCTTCCTCTCTCGGATGGCCATCTTGCCCTCCCTGATGCAGCCCATAAACGCATCCCGATCCGATGCACACATGACGTCCTCCATCTCCCGCGTCCTCGTCGAGTGCAGCAGCTCGCTGCTCAAAGCTCGGTACGCCTCGTCCATGACACCGATGACAAGCGGCGCTGTCGTCCCTTCCTGGGTGACGATCGTCCGCATGGCGTCAGCTAGCGACTGAAGCTCGTTAAGAGAGAGGTCGGGGAGGGACGGCAGCAGGCCTCTCACGGCCAGCACGAGCACTCGCGTCATGTCCCTTGACAGATGGGGCAGCCTCGCGAGAGCTTCAAGCGCTAGCGCGTGCGTCGACGCCGAAATGACCGATGGGGTGCGGTAGGCCGTGGTGAGCCACTCCTCGATCACAGTCTGGTCTCGCGCTGTCTTGAGCAGGTGCATGCCGCCCCACACCATCATCTCCCTCCCCTTGGTCGCCGCATGGCCCTTCTTGTCAGACAGATAGCGAGACGCTGACGCCAAAATGTGGTCGAAGAGGTCTCCTCCCGCAGTGACGACCTTCTGAGAGTCCTGGCCATGCTGCGCCATTCGCCCCACAGCCCACATGAATCGCCCCCAGTCAGCCGCGTTGAACTGATCCACACGCGAGGGAGAGGCCAGCTCCGCCAGCAGAGAGGGAACGAAGGCCAGGAGGTCGCCGTGCTGCCACAGCACCGGGGTCCCTTCCGACGGTCGGTGCGGTGCGTTTGGGGGGTGGATGAGCAGACAGAGGGAGGAGATGGCCCACAGGACGTCCAGCAGAGCTCGTGTGGGGGCGGATGGGAGAGATGACACATCGGGCATCGAGGGAAGCAGGTGGCGGTACATTAAGACGGATGCTGCAGACAGAGCCACACACACACACACACACACACAGGGCATCCAGCAACGCCCCCTCCTTCAGGCATGTATCTCCCTCACCTTTCCGTTGATCGTCTGGTCTCGCAATAGCGGCCACCATCCACATGATGTTCCCCACCCCATCCCAATCCACCGCCCTGCTGCCCGCCACCACCCTCTCTATCGCACCAAAGAAGCCGTCCACAAACTCGCCGCTGCCGTCACCCTCCCACTTGCGCGTCCAGCGCCTGCGAGCGAACGCCCAGCCGATGAGCTTCAGCTCGGTCAGGGAGAGGGTGTCGAGAGAGATGGATTCTGCGACGGAGTGCAGGAACGTCTGTTCGGCGGATGTGGTGAAGAGGGGCAGGTGGACTGCAGCCCAGGTGGACATGGCGAGGCCCTGGGGGGTGAAGAACCATGGATCCTGCACACATAGCAGCAGAGATACGTACGTTCACACATGTGTCTCTGCCATTCATGAGTGTTCACACACCTTGTGTGCCACCAGCCGTCCGCCAAAGTCATCCCTGAATCTCCCAAACAGCCTCCCGTCCAGTCCGGAAAGCTCCGTGTACACCGCCGCGTACATGAGTGACGCCACCTCCCTCCCCTTGAGCCACCGGCCCTCCACGCGATCCATCGCCTCACCCCACAGCCACAGCAAGCTCTCAGCCTCCTTCTGGGTCACGCTGGCCGTTGTTTCCTTCATGCGTCTGGCTATTCGATGCAACGCTGTGACCAGGTTGATGGTGCTCACGCCGTCCTTGGTCTGCATGGCGGCCGCGATGGCCCGAGTGACTGTGGCGATCCGCCCGTCGGATGTGGTGATGTTGGTGTTGAGGGATCGCTGTGCGGTGGAGGACGGGGGGTAGAGTGTGTGTGGAATTGGCGCGGAGGAGGTCGACTGGCGCGGAGGGAGGAGAGATGGAGCAGACGGTGTCACCTCGTCGGTTGTCAGTGCATCCTGAAGCCTGAAAGAGGCAACAAAGAAAGCATGTCAAGTGACGTCCACACGGTTACTGCCACGGCCCTTCGCTCACCTCAAGAGTGTGGCGACATCGAGCTGCGCCTTGACCCATCCGTCTTCCTGCCCGCCCCGCCCCTCCCGCACAGCCGCATCCACAGCGCCCTTGACGCCGCCCACGAGCAGCGACGAACACGCACGGCTTTCGTCAATCAAGAAGCTGTCGATCCTGCTGGGATGGGTGGACTCTGTGTACCGCTGGATGAGCTGTGTCTGGAGGGACAGCAGGCTGACGATGAAGGCGGGGGCGAAGAGGGTCGGAGAGGCGGGGAAGAGCGAATGAATGGCCCAACTGAACGGGAGGAAACATGAGCAGAAGCAGATTGGAATGAGCAACACTCGTTGGGAGCGTGTGTGTTGTCTCCTCACTTGTTAAATGCCAATTGTTGCCGTATCGCATCCCTGTCAGCTCCTGGACAGCATGCCACCATCAGCCCACTCAGCGCCTCCACCAGGGCGCCCATCACACCATCATGCGGCCGATTCACTCCCCTCTCAGCCCTCTCATCCATAACACACGACGAGACGTTGGCCCCCCGCTGGCTCGGCCAGTTGACCCGTATCGCCGCACAGACGTCAGTGACCCATCGAGCCAGCACACCATCCATCTCTCCACCTTCTGTGTCCAGAGCCCTCCACAGCGCCGTGTCCCTCTTGTACATCGATTTCACCAACCGCACCACCGCAAGAACCGACCTGCCCGGCATCCTGTTGTCGCGGAGCAGAGACAGCGACGCCCCGAGGATGGGAATGAGGGCGGCTGGCGGCATCAGAGTGGGGAAGAGGGACGGCAGCGCCTGTGTGACGGACACCAGGGGCGATGGGGGGAACGACGGCAGCCGGGGGAGTATGGTGTGGTGGAAGACGTGATGCAGATCCTGGGAAAGCATCGGCAACATAGCCGCGGGAACGTCATCTATAACACGGACCAACAGAACACGGGAGGCAGTGTGCATCGTTCTCGATATACCGACAAGTGGCGCTGTCAATGGTCTCACCTGAGTGTGCCCTGAGCCACGACCTGCCCGCTGTCACTGCCTTGAGCACCTTGGCAGCCTCATGCGCCCCCCAGTGAGCTCCACTGCCCACCACATACCCCCTCAGCACCCCCTCATACCACCGCCCGTACATCTCCGCCCACTTGCCGCTCTCGCCCCTTTTGGCCACGACCAGAAGAGAGCTGAGGATCGTCGCCAACTCGTGGCCCTCCATCCGTCGCGCAAGCGGATTCAGCTGCAATTGCCGCCAGAGAGCATCCAGGGCCATGTAAATGACCGCGCTGTCGACCAATAGAGGCGGGAGCATGGAGAGCCCGTTGAGCAAGGAGGAGACGTCCTTGGACGTCCATCGCTGAGCCGACATGCTGCCGATGTGTTGCAGGATGCGCATGAGCAGGCAGGGGCTTGCGAGGCACGGTGATGCTGCTATCGAGTAGACGGACAGCGACAGATCGTGGGGCGTGAAGGCCGACAGATCAGCAAAGCGCTTCAGGAAGAAGGCCTGCACTGTCGCCATAGCAGCCGTCAGCCTCTCAGGCTCACTCACAGATGCCTCCAGCACCCTCAGCGCCCACAGCAGGTTCACCATGCCCCGTGGATCGATCTCGAGTACATCCTGGCTGTCGCCCTTGATCGCAGCCATGATGTCGTCACAGAGAAGGGCCAGAGTGGTCGACGGGGTAGCGGGGGAGGGGAGCTGTGCGTGCCGCTGCAGCAAAGCGCCGAGGTAGAAGAGGCGTAGCGGCCCTTGTTCGTTAGCTGAGGGCAGCGTGTTGCGGTAGATGGAGTCCAGAGTCACGGTCGACATGGCCTTCTTGACCCGCCTTGAAAATCGATTCAGCGCAGCCCTCCTCTGCGCCACATCCTCCTCGCCCTCATTCTCGCCACCATCCTCATGATGCTCCTCTCTGCTGCCTCTGTCGCGTGCCGTCTCCTCCGCCCGCTTGATCAGCTCCTCGAAATCCAGTGTCCGCCGGAACACCCGCGCCCTCTCCCTCTCTTGGTCAGACAGCCCCTCTGTGAGGCTGCTCGGCCTCGGCTGGATAATGACATCGTCCCACGCAACCCTTTGTGATGCTGCGCTCTCGGCTGTGCGGAAGAGTGACACACGCGTGCTGGGGGAGGGAGCGGGTTGGACGGGGGTTGGAGGGGGCATGAAGGCTGCCGCATGAGCGACGGATGAGAGCAGGGAGAGGGTCACGACGGACGAGAGGCACTTATCGCGGAACTTGGGTCTGCGGGAGTGGCGGGAGGTATGGGAGGGGTCAGTACTCATCGACGGCGACCATTCGGCCGCCCTGTCTTGCCGCGCTATGGCGCTCCGTGGACATCCATCCTGAGCACAAAACACAGGCACAGACACAAAGCATGATTCAGCTGCTCTGCTGTGACATCTTGGTGAGCAGTGAGCCGACCTGTGGAGGGACGTCACACATGGGCGCCGCAGATGAAGAGCTGCAGTTGTCCGCATGCTGGCTCCCTGATCTTGTCCGCCGAGGCTTGGGAGGAGGCGTCACCGGTGCGGGAAGGGAAGCAGCAGTGCAGCCCTCTTTGCCTTGACACCGAGGAAGCGAGAAGATGGCCTCCATCAAGCACCCTCACACGTCAAGGGCATTCAGTCTGCTTGTTCAGCATGCTTGGCATCCCTCGCACAGCAGATCTGCCACCGCTGAATGTCCACCATCCAGCCGTGAACCATCTTTGCAGCTGAGGTTGAGTCCTGGAAACAGCTGCCTTGCCGAACGTGATCCAGCTGACGTTGTGAAAGGAGGGTTGGGCGCTTCTCCGCGCCTTGTCCACTACCTCTGCGAGCTCAGCGCCAAGTGCGAGCTTTTCCACTTCGCCACACATTTTTCTCAGCGAAGCGGCCCCTGCTGTGAGTGTTGCAGCGCTGCGGTGCTGTGGTTGATTTTCAAAGTCAATCGCACAGGCATCCGGCTTCAGAAGGGCAGCTGTAGGATGGCGGAGCAGCAGGTGGAGTCGCACAACAATCCCCAGGAGAGCGATGTGCCCCCGACATCATCAGAATATCACAAAATGTCCGAAAAGGTGAGCCAGACAGACTCAACGACACAACACCCTCAGAGTCTGTGTGTTGCGTGTGTGCAGGTGTCGTCGTATCTGCATCAGCTCAAGGACGTTAGGGGCTTCACCGACTGGACCAAGCTCAACGAGGACGTTTTCGGAAGCACATGGCTGGAAATGGACAAGGTAACCACACAAGCAGCAGACAATCATTCCCCTCTCTACGACTGCGTGTGCCGCTGGTGCCTTCAGTTCACCTTCGGCACATTGGCTGGACTCGTGAGCGGCTATGCGGCCAAACAAGCACTCAAGACACTCGCTGTGCTGCTCGGGTTAGGAGGGGCCGCTTGGGTGCACGCAGGTGGATACCCGTCACTTCACTTCTTTGGTGCCTGTTTCTTGTGCAGAGTTGGCTTCATCGTGCTGCAATCGCTGGTACGCGATGACGGGGAGCAGACGAGTCGGGCTTCCCTCTCCATGTGTGTGTGTGTGTGTGTGTGTGTATGTGTCAGAACTACGCCGGCTACCTGAAGATTGAGTGGCACAAGATTGAGCAGGAGGTGGCCAAGAAGTTCGACACCGACGAGGACGGCAAGCTCACCACCAAAGGTGAGAGGGACGATAGGAGCGCACTGACGGCATCAATCCAGCTTGTGGGCTGTTGTCCGTGTGTGTGGCACAGATTTTGCGGCGTTCTGGGAGAAGTTCCAAAAGGCAATGTCGTACACGCTGCCAGGTGATGCACTCCCGCCAGCAGATCGTGCTCGGTAATCAAATGGGATGGCTGTCTGTGGTTGTGTCATCATTCAGGCGCTGGTGGGTTTGGTTTCGGCTTCCTCCTGGCCGTGTTCAAGTGGTGAACCATCCGTCATAGCTGAAGTTTTTGCCACACAAGGGAGCGGTCGATATACATGCACGTCCTGGCTTTTTGACGGACAGAGAGGTCTTGGTAGGCCGGTGCGGTGAGTGCCGTGAGTGAGGGCGTGTCGAGGCGGGGGTGTGCTGACTTGTCAGTGCGTGTATGGATGTACTGAAGAGGAGGTCGGTGTCGACGGTCAGGGAAATGATTTGTTGGATGTGTGTAATGTTGTGTAAGCTTCGGTGTGTGCCTTGTGTGGATGGTGGCTGGCTGTGGTTGTACACCTACCGGAATGTACAGTAGTCGCGTCAACGGATGCTTGCCTGACGACCGTACCTAGGGAGTGCGTGACTTGTAGTGCGTGAGCGAGGGGGCGGGGCTCTTTGTCTGGTGGGCAACTGGGCATATCAATAACTCAATGAACATGGATTCGTCTCGTGAACGAAACCGACAGTGAAAAAACACATAAGAGCACTTCGTAAGAGCACTTGGTTCGTCCTCTGACTTGCCGCACTTGCAGCAAGAGGATTCACTCACTCAGCGCACAGGCCTTCCCCTCAATCGCAACTACTCCCTTATCTTATCACCCGCCCTCCCCGGTCTTATCGCTCAGTAGAAGAACTCATGCTTCTGCACGCAACACGCAAGAGGGGCACACGCAAGCAACAAAAGCGACGAGAGATGCCGCGTCAGCTGATTGCTTGTGGTCGACTTGCTCCCTCACCTTATCCCACTCGAAGTGGTATTTCTGCCTGAACTGGGCCAGCCCGACGCCCAGAACGCTGTCGATCTTTGTCTTGAATTGCGGGTGCTCGGCGATCAGCTCCTCATAGCGCTTGGCCGCTGCCTGGGCATGCTCCTCAATGTTGTCCACACCATCAGCTGCACAAGCCACAGATGGATGCCAAGAGAGTGCTCATGTGTATCGTCAGTGAGTGTATGTACCTGACATGACGCCAGTGCCCGCGATTCCCGTGGAGCGTCCCGCCTCCTCCATGACCTCGTTCAAATGATCCTTCACGTCCTCCACCTGTGAGAGAGCGCCACAACAGGCACATCCGAACGCATGTATGTTCGTTAAATGCATGTGTCATGCGTGCGGTGTACCTGGTAGAGGACGTCCATCATTTCCGAGATGTATTTCATCCGGTCTCCCACGCCCTCGATGTGACCGAAGGGCTCGGCAACCGCCTCCAGACGCTCAAGCTCAGCCTCCCACATGGGCAGCTCCTGGACCAGCAGGAAGTAATCCTGCCAATTCGAAGCCATCACCTGCACCGCAAACGACACACAGAACAACGGGCACGCGCAACAGACGGAAAGATCTGGGTGTGCTGACTGCGCATCGTCTCTCTGTCGTGTGTTGCTGACCATCGACTGGAAGTCGCTTGCCCTCTTGGCGACTCTTGTGGCGTCCATCCACATGTCGTCGTCCAACTTGGTTGGCGTCGCGAAGGTCCGCCGGCTGCCCAGAAGAGCATCCGGACGCCGGGCGAGCACCGACGTGCAAGATCCACATGTGCGTGTCAAGCGACGGAGCAGCATCCGGAAGGGCGCAGCCTCGAGAACGTTGGCTTGTTGTTGCGAGCTTAGCTGCGAGGCCTCTCTTCTTCTCCCTCTGCAAATAAGGGCAACTATGCTTGCTGTCACATCTTCGCCGTAGATATGCACTGTCTGCGTGCATTGGGATCCAAGTTCTCTGTGTTTCGGAGGTGATTGTCGACTACACTGCGTGAGTTACTTGTGGTCAGATCTGCCGGTCCCTGCTGACGATGAACTGTCGACATGAAAGTGGATGAGGGAAGAGGTGCCGCTCTGCAAGTGAGCGATGGAAACGAGCAATGTTTTCACTTGTCGTGTCTGTCTGTCTCCGGCCATTGGTTTGTCCATGTGTTTGTCACTCGTGTACTTCTCATGTCCCGCCTGTCTCCGCGTGCCATGCCAAATCAGACGCTGATTTCGCCTGACGCGGTCAGCGGCTTTGACAGCGACCCGTAGTGCGAGAAATGCTTGTTCCACTCAGGCTTCTGGAGGTCGCTAAGCAACACCTTCTTGGACCTGGTCATCCTCTTTCGCACCTCCTGCGTCTTCATCTTCTCCGCCTTCTTGGCTGCGACGGGCGCCGTGGGTGGGCGCTTTGTGGATGCAGCCTTCTGCTTCTTTGCCTTTGCCTTTGTCTCTGCCGGGGCTGGGGCGGCGGCGGGAGCTGCCTTTGTGGCTGTCTTGAGGATCATGTCTCGGAGACCGGCGAGCCATCTCTTCTGTCCCTTGATCGAGCACACTTCCTGTGCGGTCTTCAGCCACTGCATCGCCACCGGCTTGTCCTCAGGGTTGAATCTGAAGTCGGGCTCTTTGTCAAGGACGTCCTGTATCTTTTGGAATACGTCTTGTCTCAGGTATCTGCCTTTGTCCATTTTGCCAATGGGCGCCTTGCTACTAATCCCCAGCCATTTGTTGAGGCGGTTCATGAGCCTCTGGTACTCGTCAGTGTCGCCAAAGAGCTCTGCACACATACACGTCAACGATATGCGTAAGAGAGAGGAACATTGCCACAGCCCTTGTGTCCAACTCACTCACCCTTGCTCATGACCTCTCGCAGATTGTCGTCATTCAACACGTCCGACCAGATATCCAGAGCTTCTTGTTCGTTGTCCTTGTCGAGAGACATGCTCCTGCTGTGCATGAGACATGACTTGCGGACATTGTAGATGTAGATCTCGACCTCGTCAAGCCGCTTCTTGATGGCTGCAGAATCGCCAGAAGACGGCAACACGTCGCGCATATGGTAAAGGATAGTAGAGGCATGCCTGCAGGCAGCGAAGCGTGCATGGGGTAGAAGAGACGAGCGAAGAGTTTTGAAGGCTGACTCACTCGCCAGCTCTTGCGCCGTCGGGTGCGCCGGTGACGAAGCACGAGGGGCGTTCGAGGTCGTTTCCTGGGGTGTGTTCCGTGTAGGCGAAGTCGAGCATCTAAAGCGAGCATACGGTGCAATATACCCATCCACCGGGGACGGAAGGTGGGCCACTACACGTAGTCCTTCCTTACCTGCAGCTCAGCCGGCCGCAAGTGCGTCCAGAAGTAAGACTTCTGCACAAAGTTGAGGTCTCAGGGCACAAGCATTCGTGTTTTGGTGCATCTACTGGCTTGTCAGGATTTTCCACGGTGTATTCCTTTGACGGGGCGCCTTTTGTGGAGTCGTGCGTTTTCAGCCAGACGTTATCCCAATGCGCATCACAGTGCTCAATGCCAAGCTCCAGTACCTTCAGGAAGCCGTCTGCTATGAGAGCCAGCACCCACTCTCCGAAGAGCATGTTGACGTCCTCTCCGCCCACCTTCACCGTCACCGTTTCCACCAGTATGTTCCTCAGGCGCTTCTCGTCATCGAGTAGGTCACTGATCGGGATGCTGACCAGCTTCTGCATGACGAAAAGGTCGACGCCACTGGGAAGGGACTTTTTGCCGGACTCAGTGGGTGTGTAGTATTTGGGGATGCTGGGGATGGTGTTGCGCTTTTTGGGGTCTGAGTACATCGGACCCCACTCCTTCCACAGCTCACGATACACTGCAAAGGGACACGCACAAGCCGACAAATCCATGTCGATATGTGTCTCCCGGCTTCGCAACCGATCTTGTTGCTAACTCTGCTTTCTGCCAGCCAGGAGACACACAACACAAGACAACACAATCCAATACACATGATACAAACAATGCACAGACACGTGACGGTCAGCGTGTGTGCGTGCTGACTCGTGTGCGAAGAAGTGCTCGAAAGAGGGATCAGGCCTGCACACGCAGAGACGTGTGGCACACTCATCCCCTCCTCGAACAAAGAGACACTACCTTGGCACTTTGATGGCAACTGGGATGTGAGGCCCTTGGGGAAGCGGCGTGTTTTCGAGCTCGTAGAACCCATCTGCATTCGCACAACCGTGCTGGTCATGAAGGAGACAAGCTTCGTGTTCGCCAGCCCACCGTGCCCAATGAGAGCGAAGATAGCGATGCCTTGCTCCCCCTCTTCGCCGCTGGTCTTGAGGAGGTACTTCTGTCCGTCGGCCTCGATGCTGCCGTCTTGACCACTGTACTTAATGGCTTTTCGATTCTGCCCTTTCCAGAATGCCACGATCTCCTCGTTGCTGGGCTTGGTGTGATCCGCCTGCAGACAGACAGACGGACAGACAGACAGAGACAAATGCGAGTGACTGGCAGCATGCCTACGTCGTGGTCTCTCAGCATACCTTCTCGAACTCGCAATAGACAACGTCAGCGCTGCAGACCTATTGTGAAGCCACGAGCAGAGGAGCATCACAAGCATCTGAGTAAGCAGTCCAGCTGTCTGTCTGATACCTTTTGGATCATCCTGATCTCCTTGTAATCAAAGGCCGGCGGCTCAGATGACTCCGGATCCGTCACATTCAGCTGCGGGAATCTCATGCTGACGGCCTCCACTGCAAGGTGCCTGCCCCTCATGGCGGATGAGTGGACGCTGACACACAGCAGCTAGCAGAGGATAGAGGCGACAGCCGCCACACGCATCATGAGCACTTGCGCCATTGATGTCGTCCAGATTTCGCCAGATTAACTCAAAGAATGCCCTTCGTGCTGTAATGAGGATGCTCTGTGGGAGGAGACTGCCCCGAGACGCCCCCCCTTAGGCCCCCCCAGGCCTGCGAAACGGAATATAATGATGATTGATCAACGTTGTGGGCTGTGGCGGATGGCGCACAGTCACCGGCATGGCGGGTCCATTCTCACGGATCGCACGACGTGTTCATCGATCCACTCGAGCCCTTCGCAACTCCAGCCATTCATCTCACGTGTTGCAGTGTCCCCCACACACATCACACACTCCCTGACGCATCCACACACATCGGACCGCTCGCTGCACACTCAGATGGACAGGCAGGCAGGCAGGCAGACAGCGACAGAGCGACTGGGTTGCCACACACAGTGAGTGTTGTCATAGTGTGCGTGTGTGCAGCAAGGGATGAGTCGGGCAGTGCCGTGTTGTGTGTTTGGTGGGTAAGAGCGATGAGTTCCTGGCTGATGGCGTGGAGGCGCTGGCCTTCTCGCGATGCGGTGCACTGCTGAGCGATCGGCAGCACATCGACGCCATCAGAAAGAGACAGCGACTCCCACCCACCCAGCCATACAGAATCGAATCGCCATTCCCCCGTTGGCCTGACTGCACCCATGACGACCACACGCCCGACAGACAGACAGACAGACAGACAGACAGGCCAACAAACGAAACCCATGCATATCCGTGTGCTCGTGTAATGTAATGTGATGTGTTGGATCGTCTCCCCTCTACCCCTCCCCCAGAACGTTGTCAGGCTGGTCGGTCGTTGGGGCATACATGCGTGAGAGAGAACGAACATGGGGAAGGAGAGAGGACGGCATGGGGGAGGGGCAGAGAAGCGGGCGAAAGTGGTAGCTAGACAAAACTGCTGTGTGTGCTGTGCTGTATGGGAAAAGAGCGGTCTTGTGTTGGGTGGTTTAAAACGAGGCAGTCAAACAAGGAAGCGAGCCACGAATCCATCCATCCATCCAGCCAAAATATCAGCGATGGTGTGTGGGTGGTGTGTGGGTGGGGTGTGGCGGGATAGAACAGGATAGCAGCAAAGGCTGGTCAGCACAGCTTAGATAGATAGATAGATATATAGGTAGGTATACGTATGTCTTCACGTATGCAAGACAATCCATAGGATAGGACGGGGCATGGCATCAGTCAGATTGGTAGGTAGGGATCAATCATGCACCACCGACAAATGCATTGCAGACATCACGCCGCGGCGAGGCCATCATATCATCAGCAACCCACAATCAGTCAATCCACACGCAAGACGTTGACAAGGCGGACAGCCAGGCGAAGAAAGTGGCGTTGGTGTGTGTGTTGGTTTGAACACATCCCTCTCTCTCTCTCATCATCAGTCAGGCGTCCAGCTATATCCACGATGGAAAACAGCCAGCCGAGCAGTTAACAGCATCCATCCATCCATCCATTTAAGCCATGGCGCCAATTCGATCAGCGCCTCCCTCCCTCCCTCCCTCCCTCTTCGGCCCCTTGTATCAGTTCTCTGCGTATGTGTGGGCGTGTGCCGATTGTGTTGTGTTGTGGATTGGCGTCTCTGTGTGATCTGACTGACTTGTCTGCTCCTACGAGCTATGGCTATCCTATCACCACACGCAGGCCATTAAATATGAAATCACAACACACCCACACGACTGGCCGACCGATACACACATACAGCACAAAGGAGGCCGGCCCACCAAAGAAACACAGGGATGATAGCCGTCACACAAGCAAAGCCACGAGAGGGAGAGGGAGGGAGGGGGCGACAAGGTACACACAAGGCAAGGCCCGCCTCGTGTGGTAGAAAACGCCAAGACAGCGACACTCAGGAAAGCGGTGACCGTCAGGTCAACGTTGTGGGCTCGTGGCACACATCGCACAGTCACCGGCATGGCGGGTCCAATCTCACAGGTCGCACGGACGTGTTCATCGATCCACTCGAGCCATTCGCAACTCCAGCCATTCATCTCACGTGTTTTACAGTCTCCCCCACACGCACCCCACACTCTCTGACGCATTCACACACATCGGACCGCTCGCTGCACACTCAGATGGACAGGCAGGCAGGCAGGCAGACAGCGACAGAGCGACTGGGTTGCCACACACAGTGAGTGTTGTCATAGTGTGCGTGTGTGCAGCAAGGGATGAGTCGGGCAGTGCCGTGTTGTGTGTTTGGGTAAGAGCGATGAGTTCCTGGCTGATGGCGTGGAGGCGCTGGCCTTCTCGCGATGCGGTGCACTGCTGAGCGATCGGCAGCACATCGACCCCATCAGAAAGAGACAGCGACTCCCACCCACCCACCCACACAGAATCGCATCGCCATTCCCCTGTTGGCCTGACTGCACCCATGACGACCACACGCCCGACAGACAGACAGACAGACAGACAGACAGGCCAACAAACGAAACGACTCTCAGCGTGCATGTGTGTGTGTGTGTGTGTGTGGGCGGTGGGTAGGTGGGGGTGGTGAGCCAGCGAATGACAGGGCAGAGACCCCGCTCAACGCCACGCCAACGCACACACACACACACACACACACAAACAGAGAAGCGCTGTGGGTGGGGGAAAAATACGAGGGAAAAGAGCCGGTGGATGGATATACGACACCACACACACGAGGGGACGGGGTCCGTTACAAGTGTGTCGTGTTGCCGACGCACTCATCGACATGCACTTAAAAACCCCCGCACAAAGGAGGCCGGCCCACCGAAGAACCACAGGATAACAGCCGTCACACAAGCCAAGCCACAAGAGGGAGAAAAAGGAGGACAAGGTACACACAAGGAAAAGCCAAGACAGCGACACTGTACTGCACTGCGAGAGAGAGGACATCAGCCAGCCATTCGTCAAGACATCCGCCATCCATCGCCCAACCGACGCGAACACACAGTACCACACCTCCCCACTCCCCCCCTCCCTGCCCTCGTCTACACGCTGTACTTGATGGTGGTGTCGTCCCTGCAGCCGGCCGTCGTGTGGGAGGGCAGGTCGCTGGCCGGCCGTCGGGGAGGGCCGCTGATGGCGATGAGAGTGGGGCCGAGCCGACGCCGTCGTCGGGTGCAGGAATGGCAGAACCGGAAGGCTCCCTTGAGTTTGTTCCACCAGGTCGCCGCCTCTCGGGGGTAGCTGGTGTACTGCACGCCCTCGTCCGTCCAGCAGCTTGCACGGCAGATGGTCGACATGACCAAACCGTCTGATGCACACACAACACACACACATACACAGTGGCGTGCAGCAGCTGAGGTGTATTGCCCACTTACCGTCGCTAATCGTGTCGCTGTCCGTCTCGCCCTCTGCAGCCTCCTGCAGTTCTTCCAGGAGACTCACAGGAGGGCCGTCTTGGTCCGCCTGCACGGCGGCCTCGGCCGTCGGCACAGCCGGCGTGGTGGAGATCCTCTTGTCCTCGGGCTCCATGGCTGGGATTCCGTCGGCCTTGCCGATGAGAGGCGGAGGCGCAGTTCTGGTCGCGGTGTGCGATGCTGCATTATCGGCAGACGCACACACACAGAGCCCTTTCTCTCTCTCTCTCTCTCTCTCTGTGTGTGTGTGTGTGTTGGGGGAAGGAAGCATACGGTCGGTGCACTTGGCCGGCTGGTGGTGGTCTTCTGGGACACTCTCCATGGTGCTCCTCGTACGCAACAGGGGCTCCATGGCGGTCGCGGAGGGGTCGGTGAAGGCGGCGGTGCTCGCGACAGACATACGGCGGATGTGGTCTTCGTGTTGCCTGCATGACACACAGCAGCCAAGGCGGCATGCCAGGGGCCATGGCAGAGAAATGTCGCATGTGTGCAGTGCGTGCCCTCCTCACGTGTGCAGCTTATAGGTGTTGTCGCGGAGGATACCGAGCTGTTTGCCGTGGGTGTCCATCTTGTCCACGACGGCGCCAACCCGCCGGTCAAGTGCGCCCAAGGAGGCCTCAATCCCCTCGAACATCTCAAGGACACGCCTGACACACCCAAGGTACACAAGGCACGACAAATGCTCCCATAGACTCTCTCCCGTGTGTTGTCTGTCGCCTACTCGTTATGGAGATCCCTGTGTGCCGTTATGGTCGCCATGGCAGACCCCACAGTCTTGTCGAGCCGCGCCAGTGCGGCCGCGATGCTGGCGGTGCCCTCCAGCTCATCGACCTTGTTCCTGAGGAAGCACACACATGAATGAAGCCGACGATGTGATGCATGTGAGTGGCCCGACTAGCTGGCTTACATGAGCTGTCCGTTCGTGGTCGTGAGCTCGGCATTCTTGCGCTTCAGCTCGCGGACCATTCCCTTGAGGCCCTCCTCGTCGCTGCCGCTGGCCTCCCCCTCCCCCTGAGGCACCCTGTCTCTTGGGCTCAACAGTTTTGCCGCTCGAGGGGACACAAACGGCGACACGCGCTGGGCCCTCCGGTTGGCCTGCACGACATCCTCCAGGAGATGGGTGAGGTTGTCGATGCTCGCCGTCAATTTCGCCGTCAGCCGCTGGGTGGCCGTGGCGCTGGGCTGCGATATGCGCTCGTCATCCGGCGTGGAGGAGTGTGATGGGCGACGCGGGGCGTGGCTGATGTCTAGAGGGGGGATGGCTGGGCGGGCGGCTGATGGAGCGGATGAGGGCGACGAAGCGGGTGAGGGCGACGACGCGGGCGAGGGCGACGACGGCTGCTTAGGCAAAAACGCCTGAACACACAGACAGCATCAACACACGCGAATGAAGGGAGAACCTGATGCGTCAAGATCCGGTCCTCTCACCCGCTTGTCGACGGTCTCGTCCATCCTTATGGGCCTCAGGCGGCGCTAAGAGAGCCGTACGGCTTCTCGGGTGGCGTGGCTCCTGCCTTCTTGTCTGGTGGTGGTGGGCTGGTGGCGAAAAGCCCTGAAGGGCTCGACGTGACGCAAAGGCCGCAAAAGCAAAGGTGCCAAACACTACGGCGTCAGGCTGGAGCTCAAGTCACGGAATCCCGTGCACGAGCTCACATGCCAGAGCTGGAGGAGCTCATTGTCGGAGGTGATGGATGATTCATTGTGAGGCGGGGGGCAACAGAGCAAAAGCCCAACGGCCCTCGGTGTGAACGAACGAAGATCGACGATCCACTGGCGGGAGAGATCCTGTTGAACCGGCCCCGCGTTGGCTTCTGTTGGGGTCCCCGCGACAGATGCGTGCAGAGCTCCGTGAGGCCTCGACGAGTCCGTCTCATGCAAAGCTTTGCAGGACGATGGATGGCACCGCCACTCAGGTGAGAGGACGAGCAGCCTCCAGGCCAGGCAAAGCAGAGCACGTGAACCATCATGGCGTGAATCATCGTGTGTGCTGTCTGCGTGTGATTGTGTGTTGTCATTCGGTCTCGTGCAGATGAGTGAAATGGGCACGAGGGATCAGCTGCTCAAACAGATTCAGGCCTATCAGGCGAATCAGGCCAGGGTAGGTAACCAACACACTCACTCAGTCACTCATTCAGTGCATCCGTCGCTCATCGGTTGCTTTGTGTTGTTTGTGTGTGCTGTGGTGTGCAGGTCAACAATGGCATCGGCCGACTCACTCAGATGGACACCGCTATGATCACACCACTGGTGCGGCCAGACTGCCACACAATGACAGCACAAAGGACTCTGTGTCATGCTCTCTGTGTCAGATGGTGGCCAATGTCAGTCGTCAACTCGCCAAGGAATCGGCCCGTCTGGCCCAGCTGGCGGACAACATCGACTCGACCATCGCACTAACAACACACACCCACACACAGGTGAGAGGGAGACCACACAATCACACACACAGCTGCCTGTGTGTCTTTCTGTGTGTCGTCAGGCTCGACGGCTGCACGTGTCTGACATTCCCGCCGAGCCGATGAGCATCGTCCTGGCCGCTTCAAGCCTCACGACCGTCGGCCGCTTCAAGGGGACAGCCCGCCACTTCAGAAACGCCCTGCGGCCCATCATCCGCCGTATTCGGCTGCCGAAGGCCATCGAGGTGGCGGGGGTGGGCGGTGTGGTGCAGTTCGACGATCAGCTGAGCCATGGCGATGTGATGAAGGCCATGTGGGTGATGGAGGAGAGGGGCGAGGGCGGCTGGGGGGAGGTGGCCGACACACTCAGATTCGCTGAGCATTGGGGCCATTGTCAGCTGCCGGTCACTGTGGGTGCCGGAGATCTGCAGACACACGCCACCAAGGCGGTTCGCACCACACACACGAGATGGGAGGCAATGGGACAGTGAGTGAATGGCTCTTTGTCTGTGTGTGTTGGGTGCAGGCCTACTTATCGCTGCCCCGTTTCTGTGCCCGGTGGATGCTCGTCGGCCGCCGTGTGACCTTCTGCCGCCCCAACGGCCAGCATGACGGCACACTCCAGCTCCGCCACAACAACGAGCTACGCCTCATCCGCAACGAGCCCAACTTCGCCATCGTCATCAACCCGCCCCTCCCCCTCCCCAACAGCCCCGTCCATCCCTTCTCGCAGCACCCCTTCCAGCAACACGCCAAGCCCCACGACCCGCCAGTCCGCAGCCGCATTACGTGGCACCCTAGTGTGGGCTGGACGACGGTCGCTGCCAACGACGGGGTCGTTTTCTCATCTGCGAGTTCCCTGCTGAAGAGCCTGATCGTGGTTCACCGGGTGCTGGCTGTGGGCGGCATGTCCCAGTCGCCACCAATGGCGGTAGACCGGTAAGTGGACGGATGAAGAGGGCAGGTCGCTCACGCCATGTGTCAAAATGTGTGTCAGGAGTGCGCGTGGAGGTTATCTGGATGGCGTGCTGACTCGATCACCTCACACGCCCCTTGACGACTGCTCACACGTGATGGCACACGAGGTGGTCGGTGGGATGTGTAGGCAATCGCATTGGCTGACATCATCAAACGACCCGTTCATCGCATGGATTGCCATGCGCATCCCTCCAGGCGACAACCAGAACGGTACGCTTACACGTAAGAGACCAGCAAACCCACAACACCCCCATGCTGTCGTGGTGTCTGATTTTGTGCTCATGGCTGCGTGCAGTAGAGGTCACCATCAATACCAGCGAGGCGCCAGCAGCAGGTGTGGCCAATGACGAGCCTTCGCCCAGCGATTCCCCCTGACGGCCGCCAAGGCCCGTCTCGTCCTCGGCCCCATCGCGTCCATCGTCCTCGACCGCCAGGCACCATAGACAGGAGGTGAGGGCCACACACATGATGCAGAGAACCTGCTCTATGTATATGCTGTATGTTGGTGTGTGTTCTGTAGGGCGGCTGGCTGACGTCAAGGAAAGACACACAAGTTGAAGTAGCTGACTGTCTGGTGGGCGAGGGGGCCAGCGGACTGGTGTGTGGTGGTGTCTGCATTGTATCTGTTGGCTGCATGTCGGCATGGCAGTGACAATGGACACATCCGTGGACACATTTGTGTGTGTACAGAGACAGAAGTGTGCGTGTGACATCCGTAATGCCCGTCGTCATTGCCAGACTGTGTGAAGGGATCGTCGTCAAAGCCAGTGCGGATGACCGAAGCATTCCAGTCATTTGTGTCCCAGACGTCTCTGTCACGCACTCGCGCCACTCTCACAGAAACATATACAAAGCGGCAAGATCGAGACATACAATTCGAGCCCACCACGAATATAAAATGCAGGCAACGATTCCATTTAGATCCATCAGTCAGTCGCCGTGGCGACTGCTTCGTTGCTAAACCCCTGTTGTCTGTGTGCGCGTAATGCCCTGGAGCAGCTGCACGTATACCCATGTGTGTGTATGTATGTGTGTTCTGCATCGCGTGTCTGTCTATACGTTTGATGCCGCCACGTCAGCTGTCATCTTGGCCACCTCCTGATGGCATCCAGAAGACGCAGACAGACAGACAGACAGACCGACCGACGGAAGATGACGGCTCATCCATTCTTGACAAAGACAGATGAGATGGCTTGTGTCGACATAGGCATGCATTCATACACACGACTGCGTCACCCATCATGCACTGAGACACGCACCTGTAGGCAGACACGGGGGTAGAGAAAACAGCACACAGGCAGACAGCGGCATTCCCCCATCGATGCCCCCCCCCCCACCCCCCCACCCACACACACACACACACTGGGTCGTTCTCACAAGCAAGCAGGCAGGCTGGCTGTGAATGACCCAAGGTGCCACTCATGTGTCTTGTCACTCACTCATCCGCAGATGCACGCAGCCGCAGACATGGAGAGGGGCAAAGAGGCAGGAACGTACAATACAGATCGACCCACGATAGACCGTCTGAGTGAGTCTCATGGCCGGCCATCAAAACCATCGACCATCTCATGCCATGCCCGGTGCCAACTTTGTCATCGTCCAATGACGCCGTCAGCCCACTCGTGTGCCACGCGGTCACTCTCGTCCGAGAACTGACATTTCACACACAGCACACTCTCAATGCAATCAATCCCTGTTGGACCGATCCCTCTTTCGTATGGCACCTGGTGCATCATGTCGTCGTTGTTGTGATAGTGCGCATGGCCGAAGAACATGTCCTCATCTGAATCATCAGCACGGCTCTGCAGGGGCAGGGGAGACGCGGACAGGCCGCCAGGGACGCCATGGCCATACACACCTGTAGTCCACACACCTGCAGAGGCAAGCAGGCAGGCATGCCGGTCGGCCGACATAATGGGAGTGTCCATCATCACGCTGTACGTTGTCGTCAATCATCAGACCTCCGTTCGTGTGGATGTTCCAGTGCACCATATCGTTGGTGTCCATGGGCAGCACATCAAGGGACGGCCTACACCCATTCGCAGACAGCGCACCACACATACACGCGTGTCACTTCATCTTGCCCTCTTGTGTGAGTGCTCACGGTGTCGCATCGCCGTTAGTGCTCGGTGTTGCAGTGGACGCTTGGCTGCCGTAGCTGTCGCTGTGTGTGAGGAATCACCATGCCGGCAAACACAAAGCTCGTGGCAGCTGAACACCAACAAATAGACACAATGGGCGAATAGCCGTCTGCTGAGAGAGAGGACACCGTGTGCAGTTACGTGTGTCTGAGATGCTGCTCGGTGGCGCCAGGGGGACGGGAGGAGCATTGTCCAATTGGGGAGCATTGTCCACCTGCTGCTGGAGCTCCTGCATAAACATCAGCATGTCACAGCAGCGGGAGAGCATCCCAAGATGCGACCGATCGTCTGCCATACACACATGTGGATCTATCTGCTCGATCGATCACCTGCAGGTCGGCCTCTGTGAGTTTGTGGGTCTTGCGCAAGTGAGAGGTGACCACATTGCGGTAGGTGTTCTGTTTGCCGCAGATGCCGCCCCCAGCACACGGCACCAGACACGTGGCGGACAGCTTGTCGCTCTTGCCCTTCTTGACCGGCACTTAAGGCACTACTTCCGCCAGCTGTCCTCCCCAGTACACACGCGCACAGCACTGGGCGTTGTAGTCAGTTGCCTGCTCGTGCGGGTCCATTCCTGGCTTGCGGAAAACCTGCAGACGGAAGAGGTGGCGGAAGGGTCGCTGGCAAGCGTCTTGGTCGATGGCCGCCGGCAGGAGAGCTATGGCCCAGCCCGGCGCACCCATGATGCGCTCGGTGCTGGCAGCGTTGAGCCACACGTGGCGGTGCTCTGCCGGGGCGGCCATGTCTATCGGGTCCACAGCCGACTGGGAGTGACTGCGGTCGAGGTCGATGGCATCCCAGTTGTCGTAAAGGGCACACAGAAGTGACTCATGCGGCACACTCTGAGCAGCTGCACCACACGAGCAGCATACACACGCTTGCAGAGAAACCCATGCATTTGGACCTGTGTGACTTACCATTCATCGTGAAGCGCAGATAAAGGTCGGACATCAGACAAAGGGGTGAAATGACCAGGAATACCGCAGATAGGAAGGCCTACTTCTCGTATGTGAACCACTTCTCGTATGTATACCACAACACCATCAGCCCCAAAAGGCCTCAGAAAGGGCTTCCTTCGTCACCTGTGATGGCGGCATCGACTGTTCTTCGCGGCAGAGCCATATCCACCGAGATCTTGCCTTGTGGTGGAGATGAAGGAAAAGATCTGCAGCAACATAACAACCACAGCAACAGAGCAAGTACAAACGAGCTGTACGGCACCGTGTTCATCCATCTCCAGGCAGCTCTGCGAGATGGATCGCCCACAGGCTGAGCTCGCCTTTCTGAAGGAGAAACAACCCGTCGTCGCTGAAAGGAGAAACGATGGCAGATCTGCCTGGTGCTTCGCCAGCGATGCAGCTCATGTTGCCGTCAGATGTCAATCTCAGCGAGAGGGACATGTGCGACCTCGAGATGTTACTGATGGGTGCCTTCTCGCCTCTCAAGGGCTATCTGGACCGCGCCAACTACCTCTCCGTCCTGCACAACATGCGCCTCACCACAGGTCAAGAAATAAGCAATGGGATGCACGAACGAGGTGGTTGATCCTTGTGTGTGTTTCGGCTGTTCAGGAGAGGTGTGGCCCATTCCCATAGTGCTGCCCATTCCCAAGAGCTCGTGCAGGCCAGCTGATTCGTCAGCAGCAGGCCAGAAGGTGACGCTGCGCGACAAGCTGGGCTTGATCATTGCCGAGGTCAAAGTCACCGACGTGTACGAGCCCGACCTGAGCATCGAGATGGAAAAGGTGGGCCAACCATGCATGAAGATCTGCACCGAAATCATCGTATCGCGCACGTCTTTTCTCCTCTGTGTGTCAGGTTCTGGGGTCGACCGACACGAACCATCCATACGCCCAGCACCTGCTCGCCCACTGCAGTGACCACTATTACGTGGGAGGGGAGGTGACGCAGCTGCACGACATCCAGCGGTTCGACTTCAAGGAGTACCGGCTGCCGGCGCCAGAGGTGCGGCAGATGATCAAGGACAAGGGGTGGGGGACCGTCGTGGGCTTCCAAACGCGCAACCCCATGCACAGGAGCCATTTTGAGCTCACGAGACAGGTGACGGATGAGTGCATCGACCTGTTTGTGATCTTTGCAATACGTGTGTCTATGTGATTGATGCGTGCAGGCTCTGCGCGAGGCGTCAGAAGAGACGGGCAAGAAGGCCCACCTGCTGCTCACGCCTGCAGTAGGGCCAACACAGCCGGGAGATGTCGAGTACCACATACGCGTCAGGTACAACACAACACAACACAACACAACACAACACACAGCCACAGTCACATCCATGTGCACACGTGGGCGTCAATGCGTCTGCGTCATCAGGTGTTACAAGCGTTTGCTCAAGTACTATGGCGACGACAGCGTCAAGCTCGTCCTGTTGCCCCTCGCTATGCGCATGGCTGGACCAAGAGAGGTACCTAACGAGACCACACATATCTGGAAAGCAACAGTCCGTCCACATGAGGCTCTGAGGCTCTTGCGTGTATGGTTGTCAGGCCGCATGGCACGCGATTATCCGTCGCAACTACGGCTGCACACACTTCATTGTGGGGCGGGACCATGCTGGCCCCTCGGCCAAGAAGAAGGACGGCTCGCCCTTCTACGGCCCCTATGAGGCGCACGAGACCCTCAAGTCCGTCCAGGATGAGCTCGGCATCCGTCCGGTGTTCGGTCGTGAGATGGTCTATGTGGGTGAGGAGCATGGCGGCTATCTGCAGAGGTCGCAGGTGCCCGAGGGCGTCCCGACGCAAAACATCTCCGGCACGCAGCAGAGGCACATGCTCCAGGTAGACGACGCATCCATCCACACACGCACCATCGCAATGTCCGCATCTCTCTCTCTCTCTCTCTGTGTGTGTGTGTGTGTGTGTGTGTTCGTGTGTGTCAGTCTCGTGAGCCCATCCCGTCATGGTTTTCGTTCCCTGACGTTGTCGAGGTGAGCATGTCACACTCACGGCGGACAGAGGGATCTGCAACACCGTTCCCTCTGTGTTGTGTGTGCCTCAGGAGCTGCACAAGTTCTACCTGCCGTTCCACGAGCGTGGCTTCTGTTGCTACTTCACGGGCCTGCCGTGCTCGGGCAAGTCGACACTCGCCATCGCCGTTGAGGCAGCCATCAGTGTCAGACAAGAAAGAGCACCAAACAACCTGGTCTGTCGCCCGTGGATACGTGCGCCCGTGTGTGCTATTGTATGCAGGAGAACGATAGTGAGAGGCGCAATGTGACCATATTGGATGCGGATATCATCCGAACACATCTGAGGTGCGACGGGCACGCTCGCCCTACCTACCTGCATTGACATCGCCGTGCGTGTGTTGCCTGCTGTGGTGTGCAGCAAGGGTCTCGGGTTTTTGCGTGAGGATCGTTCGATGAATGTGCGTCGCATCGGATATGTCGCGTCGGAGATCGTCAAACACAGGGGCATCTGCCTGGTGTGTGGGAAAGATGGAACACATACAGGGACGTCAGGGCGTATGCGAATGTTCTTGTCGTTTGTGTGCAGGTTGCGAACATCGCGCCGTATGACGAAGATCGCCAGTTCAACCGCAATCTCATCACCAGGTGACCACAGACAGAAACACGCCCCGTGTGCGGTGTATCATTTTGGCTGTGTTCGTGTGTGCGTCGTTCAGTGCTGGTGGTGGCTATGTGGAGGTGTTCGTCAACACGCCGCTGGAGCTGTGCGAACAGAGGGACGTCAAGGTCAGTCAGTTAGCGTACGCGTGCATATAGGCGATGCTTAATTGACGCACTCGTCGGTTGTTGGGCATGATTGCTGTTTGTTGTGTCCAGGGCCTCTACAAGAAGGCGCGCCAGGGCATCATCAAACAAGTGAGGGAGATGACACACCCCATCGGCATTATGCGTGCGGGATACATGTATGTGGTGCCACTCATTCAGTTCACGGGCATCTCTGATCCGTACGAGCCGCCCCGCAGCCCCGAGCTGTGCCTGGAGACGACAGAAGATGTGTCGAACCACGTGCAGCAGGTCAGACAAGAGAGGGGCCCCTCAGTACTGCACACACACGAGCCGGGCGATGCATTGTGCGCATGCAGGTGATGGACTATTTGGTGGCCAACAAGTGGATCCTGCGGCCGTCTGAGTGATGTGCGGGCGGAGTCTGTCTGCCTGCCTGCCTGCCGTCCTCAGTGTCTGCTCTCTTTCTTTGAGTGAATGCGGGACAGTGAGCTGTTTTTGACGATGCGTTGATCGGAGTGTAAGAGCGTTCGTGTCTGTAGCCGCCCGATGGCCAACCAGGCGGGCGAGCAGTGTTTGGTGTCCGACATGTGTTCAGATGGCACACCTGTCCCGCAGTGTGGTGGCCTGTCGTGCATGCGCTTTATTTGACTGAATGTAATGTACGTGAGATTTTGGCTGCATGGTCAAGCGGCACAAGTTCACACGCACTCAGCCAGCCACGGAAGATCTCTGCCCTGTCTACTAGGCAAACACTACTGGCAAAAAAGGTCTCATTGCATATGAGCCAGACAGCTACCGCAGATGACATGCATCCGTAAGCGGCAACCACAGATCAATCAACTACCCAGGGGCTCCCCTGCCTCTTTATCCAGCATCACTCGCAGAAAACGGTCACTCGCGTCTGTCTGTCCGTCTCGGCGGCTTCTAGCCGCTGGGACGAATGGCCTGACGTGCAGAGCCGACATGTGCACGTCCCTGGGGACAATGGGCATCTTGCCGCACCTGCACACGCAAGACGTCACAGCCAACAGCAGCCACATGGATGACCGAGTACTCATGGCCCTTCGTCATCTCCATCGCTCACCCGTGTCTGCAGTCGTCGAATTGCTTCTTGGTGGGCACCTTGGCCTTGATGTACAGGAGCTTCAGCGCCGCCTCGTTGGGCTTGACGCTCCGCCGCTGGACGGCCGCCTGGCTCGTGAGGCGCGCCACCATCCGGCCGCTCGGCACATCCATCACCACAAAGAAGCAGTGGACGGTCACGTGACGGACCAGCGGATGGTCCCTAATTTTCTGCTTGTTGGCGCCATTCGACCATGAGCGCAGGGGGTATGGGAAGACGGCCAGCCGGGGGGCGGTGGCGGGGCTGCCTCTGTAGGCCAGGTGGTGGCGGATGAGGTCGGCTTCACACTTGTAGATCAGCAGGGGCCGAGCGATGGCGTAGTCGAGCTTCAGGAAGTCGTAGCGGGCGGCTTCGCGCCGAACAGGGTCCCGGTCCAGATGCGACAAGAGCGACACCACAGTGGGGTGCAGGTCACGGTACATCACGAACGACAGCAGAGTCGCCGCCGTCGACAAGGCCTGTGCACACACACACAGACAGCGAGCCAGACACTCTTCACTGTCTTTCCTCAATCTTCGTGTTGTCGTTCATTCCTCACCTGTGGTGACGGCATCATCTCGTTTTCCTCAGTCATCATCTCCTCATTGTTATGCGGCTCTGACCGCTCCGACGGCCCGCCGCCATCGAGCTCGATGCAGCCCACGGCCATCGGCCCTGCCTACACACACACACACACACACACACACAAGCACACCTTGACACCCAATGCTGACCTTCCAAACGCATTTTTTCCCTCACAATTGTTTCCGACTCCATTGTGGATGTGCTCATGTTGCGCGTCACCGCCTGAACGCCTGCCTCGCCCACTTTGCTGCCGCCTGCAGGGCGCGGGCCTCGAGGGACGGGGAAGCCCTGGGCGATCTCAGCAGGGGCGAGCGGCGCGCCAGCCATATGGGCCTTGAATGCGGCAGCCATTGAGGCATCTCCACACCTGACACGCGCATGAGACATCGATATGAGTGCTAAGATCAGATGCATGAAATGGATCAGTGATTCGACCCTCTGTTGTGCTCACCGTGTCTGTTTCATATTGCTGTTGTCCTCCTTCAATCTCCTCTTTTGCTCCAAAAGCTCGCAGGCCGTTTGTGTTAGAGCTCTGAATTTCCCAGAAACCGCAGCTGCGGATCTCTCTGAAGAATGTTATTCGTTCATTCTGTCCCTTCTTTGGGTTTCTGTGTGATGCAGGGACAATCAGGGAAGGGCCAGAGGCCCTCTTCAGTGATGTTTGGTTGAGGACGATCGGAGCTGTCAGGTAACACAGGTGTTTCAAAATGGACCTTCTGGGATCTCTGGATAGGAAAAACTACCACCGAGGACCCTCGGAAGCCCTCGCCAGCAGAGATTTGAGAGATCCTCACCTTCGCGGAAGCGGTGGGGGTCCTCCGACGGTGGTTGTCCTTCTTCCCATCGCTTTTGTAGGCTTTCCGCAGCCATGGCGGACCGGGTGAGTGTGACACACGTTGGGGGGGAAGCCATTCAGCCAGAAATCGGTGATGCCGACGCACCACAGTGTGACGATGGGCTGTCTGAACCGCTTCTCTCGGTTTGTCTGTGGCTCGTGACTCAGGCACCCAGCAGCTCTGCCGGCAACGCCTATGGCGGCGGCGGACACTGGGGGGGACACAACTCACAGATGCCAGGTGACTCACGTTGACACGGGTCTGCGAATCGAGCGATCCCGTGAAAGTGTGGGTGGTCACTTTGTGTCGCTGTGCGCCCTCAGGTGGACTGCCAAACGCCTATGGACTTCCTGGTGTGGACGGTGGGCGCAGAGATGGGCTCGGATGCCTTTTAAAGTGCTCCCCTTCGTGTGTGTGTCAGACTCCTCTCATGTGCGTCATGCCTCTGCTGGTGGGGGCGTTCCTCCTCACCTGCATCCAGTCTTGCACGAGGTGGGCTTGACGAGTGCAGTGGCTAGGCAGTCAGGCGGGCAATGCCCATTGCACGCGTGTATGAGTCTGATCAGAGTGCTCCTCGGACGACTGGGCAGCTGTTCGATCTCTCGGCAGCTGGGAAGCTTCTCGGGTCAACGGGTGAGTATTGAGGACAGCAGTGCAGTCTGCACACGTACATGGTACTGATTGATGCCTTCGTCTGTATGTCTGTCTGTCTGCCTGTCTGACAGTCCTGAGAGTCAGTAACTTGAAGGTGCAGCG